GCTGCAGCCTGTTCCTCTCAAGACTTTTATTCTTTGAGGTTATGAATCTGAAATTTAATTTGATGGGTTAAAAATGCAACTATTCTCCCTTGACTTTGTCCTATTTTTACCTTTGAACATTTCTCATTTTACCACCTGCAGTGCGTTTATGATTTTTTTTTTAAAGGTCGTAGTGGCGACATTTTTTTTTTAATCTCATGCGTTTCTTTTTGTACAAAGCTGAAGATTTTTCTGAACCCGACAGATGATATAAATTTACTGTCAAACTATTGTGATACAACAGCACAGTTTTACTGTGATGGCAACAGCTAAAACGATCGTCGGGCTTTCAAGAAGACAGATCTTTTTTTAAGTATATTTTTGCTTTCATATTTGTGTCTGTAGCACCCTGAAGGATTTACGAATAATGTAGAATCATAAAACGGGTCATTCTGGTGTTGACAACCCGTGAGAGCTGCTCACGTTTTATAAAATTTGCTTAGTGCCACGACAGAAAGTCAGTCAAGGAAAATATCATTGTCGCAATGCAAGAATAGTGTGTTAGAACGAAATAGAGCAAAAAGTGGACATTAATAGATATTCATTGTAATGGCACACTGCAAAAACTGAAATCTTAATAAGATAAAATATTAAGTTGATTTTTGGGGGGTAAAATATTTTTTCTTACCTCAAGTTGTTTCTGTTACAAATTTTTTTCTCATTTTAAGTTATTTTTCTTAAATGTCTCAACATTTTAAAACTTGATGTTTAAGCTTTAAACATCAAGCTTAAACATCAAATTTTTACTTATTACAAATAAATGCACTTTTGAAACTAGAATATCAGTACTTACAAAGTCGTATAACATTTTAAAAGTAAAAATGTCTTATTTTGAGAAAAAAAATCAACTTCATGACTGACATTGAATCTCTTTAATAAAAACGACTCCAACCAGATTAATTCCTTTGTTTTATTGTTGAAGAAACAAGAACTTACATAGTTTTACAGCTGGCAGAGCAGTGGGAATTGACATTTGATAATAACACAATTAAGATTTAATACAATTTTCAGAAAAACAAATTGTTCATCATTTTAGATTCATAAAATGTCACTGCCGGTTTCCACTGCGCCTCCACAGTCATCAAAATAAAGAACATATCTTGGTAATAATCACTGGATTATTTTTCACTATTGTACAATTCAATTACATCCCCCAGGTAGTATTTTACCAGTACAAAGGTGTTGGTCTTGCTGCTGACTGTGAAATAAGAGATAAAATCCACCAGCTTTTCTGCATCAGTGGCCTGTGGGAGGAGTGGGACCTGAACCTGATATTTCTGTCAAAGTGTGCTGTTTGAAAAGGTTGGTATTCCAAACATTAGAATGTAGAATCAGCTAAATATATTTTTTGATCAGTCCAAATTCTGGTAAATTACTTTTTGCTACTTTTGCAAAAATCAGAGACTTCTCTGTGATGTACCTATTGCTATTTATCACAACCCATTATAATTATTTGCGGCCACTGGATGTCAGACAAAAAAAAAACCCATAGGCATCCACTTCGTTGCCTCCTGTCTTTTAAACATTGTGCTGCCAGGTGAGTCTTAAACATTTAATTTCCTTTTCACATTAAGACTGGGAAATGTTATTCAGTTTGATGAGTTCCTTTTAATTCTCCTGAAGTTTTAAAAGATTCCTCTGGAGAGGGGAGCAGGTCACCGTGTGCTACAGACGACCTCCACGTGAAACAGAGCAGAACAGAAAGTGTAGGGAGGATCTGTCCAGCTAATTATTTGACAGGCGGAGAAATAAAAAGTATTCAAGCAGTGACATTACGATAGTGTCTAAATCTTCCCTGCAGATATTGTGAGTGGATATTCACTCCTCTGAGAGGATAACTGAACTCTTTTGCAATGCCAGGGCATTAAAACCATGTGCTTTTATATGAATATGTGTTTAATGCAAAGTGACAATGATGTACAGGTTCATAAAATAATGTTTGCATAAACCATTGTGACAGTTTTAGAAATAGTGGTTTTCCATGCCTTGTCAGGTATGTTGGCTTAACTAAAAATACATTTTATGGGTCTAAACATGAAGGAAAAATATAAACACAAAATGAAGGTTTACTCACTGCAGGTAGGATATGATTTCATCAAAACATTTCTTTAGAAGTTCAGAATTGTTATTTTAACATAAAATTTTCCCACAATGGTTTTAATACTAAATCCAGAGTTGTGGCAGTTCAGCAGTTCTAATTAGAACAAATTAGAAGTTGTTCTAATTTCTGTCTATGTAAGGTCCAACAGTTGTCTTTGCTCATATAAACTATTGTATATGTTTATATGAGCAAATAAACATGAAGTCTGTAATCTACAGATTGTTTCAATGGGACTAATAAGAAAACTGACCAATGAATGAAGGCTTAATACACATTAAATTGCCTTTATCCAAAATTTTACTGGAAAGAAGAATGTTTAGATTGCATTTATAATAGTGATCACGCTTAAGTCATGTGACTTAAATAGAATCCACTTCTGGTAAATTCAGCTGATTGGACTTGATTTGGAAAGACTCACACCTGTCTAAGTAAGATCCAACAGTTTACAGTGCAGGTCATAGGTCAAACACCAAGCATCAAACTAAAGAAATTGAGTGGAGATCTTCAAGGCACAATTGTTTTGAAGCACAAATCTGGGGGAAGGATCCCAGAAAGTTTCTGCTTTGAAGTTCGCAAAAAGCTCAGTGGAATCCATCACTGGTCGATGGAGAACCAGTAGATCGAGTCGTCCAGTGGGTCATGACCTCAGGCTGAATTCAGCAGGACAGCGACCCAAATCACATGATCTGCATCTGAAAGGCTTCAGAAGCAATCTGTGAACATCCTGGAGGGACCGAACCAGAGTCCAGTCAAATCTGATTGACATCTCTGGAGAGAGGTGAACATGACTGACAGACGTCTCCATCCAACCTGATGGAGAAGAACGGAGCAAACAGCCTAAAGAGAGGAGGCTGAGCTGGAGGCTGCAGGTTCAGACTGGAGGCTGTTAAAACTGCCAGAGGAGATCAACAAAACATTAAGCAAAGTCTATGTAAACATGATTTGCATAAAAGGTTTCCACGCTGTCATATTGAGGTATTTGTGTGTAGAATTTTGTGAAAAGAGATTAATTTAACACAATTTGGTTTCCCTAAATTCTCCTTAGGCATGGGTGAGTGTTTACATGATTGTTTGTCCAGTCTGTCTCTGTGTTGCCTTGGGATGGACTGGCGACCTGTCCAGGGTGACCCCGCCTCTCACCCGATGACCTCTGGAGATAGGCACCAGCTCCCCTGGCGATCCTGCAGGACTAATAGCGATTGGATGGATGACATTTGGTTTCTGTATGTGACATACGGGCCTCCATATGGTGAAAGTTCTGCCATCTGTTCATTTTCTATTTCAAAACAGATTTCTGGTTGCCTTCTCTAATCTTTAGAGGCAACAAGTAGAATTGACACATGGAGCTCTCTGCCTTCATTCATTGGTCAGTTTTCTTATTAGTCCCATTGAAACAGTCTGCAGATTACAGACTTCAAAGTGAAAACGATATGAAGTCAGCCTGCCTCAAAACTGCCATCAAATATTAATATACTAGTGACTGACTCTTATGGTTTAGCAATGAAGGGGAAGTGGCCCTGTGGAATACACATGATGCCAGATCACGGGGCCCGTCGCTCATCAGAGGCTTTATCTTTATCAACACACCATCTTTCAGAAGGTGTGTTGATAAAGACATGTAAATGTGTAAGAACTAACACTTTCGCTAGGCCTGAAAATGAGTGCCGCTGGTCCCAGCATATGTGGTGTGTTGATCTTGAGTCCTGTGGAAATGAAATGAGAGATGGTTAACTGGTCAGTCAACTTTTCACCCTGAACTTATGCTTTTAAAAGAAAATGTTTTTTGTGCATATTCAACTATTTTTAGAAGAAAGCAGAATTTTAGAAATGTTTCAGTCTGGCTTAGAACTGCTTCAGTAAGAGTTCATATTGACATTGCTCAGCCATTTGACTCATTTGGGGAAAGCTGCTACTGACCTTGGAACCATAGTGTCAAAAGCTCTCTACAGTTGACAAAGCTCTACAATTTGACAAACAAATCTCTTTTATTTTTCAGTCCAGATTTTATTATTTACGACTTCTGAACAAAGTCAAGCCTTTTACAAACCGTTGTGAACTGGAGAAGGCTGTGATATAAAGAGCCACGCTCCCCCCACCCCTCAACAGTGTACAGCTGACTCCAGCAGAGTTTTTACAGCATCAAAAGTCATTAAAATGTGTCATTCCAACATGTTGAATCATCCATATAACTCTTCTGTAAAATTACCAACTACATTTTCCCAAAAACACCACATATGTAGCTGCTCCCAAGTAGGCAGGGCTTGTTGCTCCAGTGCCTGAATAAAACGTTGATGTCTCCACTGATTGGCTGGTAGATGATGAGCGCTATCCCCATGATGAATTCTGAATATATCTGATGTAACTGTTTATATCTGTCGCCGCCATGATTTTTAATTATTTATTGTGTGAACAAGCTTATTCACTCAATTTTAGTTTAATTTCTTATTTAATGGAAACACAACAGTTGCAATGTTATGTTTCTTCAACATTAGCATGATAGAGACAAAGATTTGTGCACATTTGTAATGGATACGCAGCTAGTGAAGATGTAAAACTGACATCGAATAACAACCCATATGGGAAAACCATTTGGCATGCAAAAACAGGTCCATTATGAAAAACAATTTAAAGACTGGTATGTGATTAAAAATATATATATCAGCATAAGGATCCAAGAGAATCAGAGAAGAAAGTAATCACTTGTCAGTCTTTGTTAAATATTTGAGATTTAAGGAAAGGATTTATCATAAATGCTTAAAAAAGCCATTTTTAAAACACAGAATAATGAGTTTCTAGGCATAGTGAGAGAGGTGGTCAAATTTCTGGTATGACTCCGCAGGCAATTTTCACCCAGACTGAGCATCTTTCTAACCTTGTCTGACTGTGGCTTTTAATGAATAGAGTTTCACAGCAGAGTCCCAAAGACCTTAGCCACAGCACACTGAAAACTCAAGAGATGTAACATTATTATCCAGGGTGACTGGCAGTTTCCTTGGAGTGGCACAAAATGATTTGGTGTTAAAAAAAAACTTTCTTGTAAAATTAAATAATTGAGTCAAAAACTTTTAAGCTCAGCTGAGATTTGTTCTTCAACATCTTCAAGACTTTTTATCATCACCAATACAAAACACTCATGACCATAAAATCTTTATTAATGATGATAACATTCAGGCAACTTGTTGTTGTTTAGTCAGTTTCTCTCAGCCTGTGATGTTTCTGTCATAACACTGTTCCATCCACAGTTCAAGCTCTCAATAAAACACTTACAAGCTCTCATGTCCCTCACTGATGTGAGCTTTTATAAATTCGGCCTCATGGAGCCTTGCAGGGGCTGAAGTGGAAATCAGTGACATTTGATGTCCGTCAAAAACTCCCACCTCTACTCCGACTTCAACTCCAGAGTGTCAATGGCTGGAATTATGCTTACTGAATGTTTAGCTCACTGTTTCTGACTTTGTATTTTATGTAGGGCTGCAACTAATACAACTATTTTAGTAACTGAGTATCCTGTCAGTTTTTCTGAGGATTAATTGAATTTGAAAAAATTGGCACATTCTGCAGATTATTTTAACTACTTAAGCTTATTTTATACAACATTATAAAAAATGCAACAACAGCATGGCCTTTAGTGAACACTTGATCATTTGTAGCAAAGGTTGCATCTGAAGCTAAATAAATCCTTCTAATATCAAGATGTGAAAAGCTCAGTTCTTTCTGCTGGACAGTGAAGGGCTGATCCGTTTTTTGGTGTTTTTATAAACCATAGTTCCTCCAGGTGTTTGCTATTCATTGCAGCTCTGTGAGACTGCAGGTCAGAGGAGGAGCTTTGGGGGAATAGGCGGGGCTTTGTGAGCAAGCATTTAGCCACTCCCTGAGTGGTTGCTATGGGAAATTAAATAATTTTTCAAACATGCATGAAAGAATCAAGGCAACATTCCACATATGTTTTAGGTGAGGGAATAACATTGTAACATGATATAAGCTCAAAAGTTGATTTTCCATAATACATTCACAATTAAAATAAGAAATTGTCTTCACATAACGAGACATAAACTGATTACAAGTTCTTAAAAAGACAGAAGAACTGACTCCTCATCTTCTTACTCTGTTTCTTTTTCAAAGATCCGGCAGCACGTCGTCGTTTTATTGCTATGACCTTTCTCATTTAAATAAGAAGATATTTTGGTTTTGACGAGATACAAAATTTTTAACACGATGCTTACTGCTCCTGAGTTTATTTCCTAGCCCCGGCAGCTAAAGGTTTCCATAGAAACCCCTAAACAGTTGTGTATTTAGTTAGATCGAAGTGTGAACACAGATGGACTCTGTTGACTGATGAGGAAACTCCTGGTACCAGTGGGATTTATTAAGGGGGCAAAACAGAAGCATAAAACAGCTTTTCAGTGAGAAAATTGAAATCTTCACAACACTTTCTTGATCTCACAAAAATGCAATAAAGACACTGAGATCTATCGTTTCAACATGAAAAATGTAAACAAAATATAACAGGTTTGAGTAATCTTGCAAGACACTATATTCACTGGATATTTAGAAGTTTGAAGGAGGTTGGCTTTTCTCTGCCTGATGTAATGAATTTTCCTCACACACGTTTAACTGGCTTCATAATAAAAAAAGTTGGTGGAGAACAAAGTCCGACTGCACTGCCGAGAAATTTGAATGTGAACGCTCTTTGTCTTCTTGCAATCCATTAAAACGTTGGGGATTCAATTGTTGTTTACACTCATGTAAAAAATAGCAAACTGTAGATGATGTTTCAAAGGGCTACAGGTAGAAAAACCTGTTTCTAATACCTGAGAAGAAAAGTAACCTTCAATAGTTTGGAGAAAAAGACAAAAAATAAAAAAGAGATGAAAACTTATTGAACACGTTGATCCAAGCCTGTTTCACCTTCTTCATGGCTCTCTACATACTTTCTGTATTGAACAGCAAATTTGTCTTTTCTTTTTCATTTCTAATTTAGCTCTTTCATGGAAACACTGTCTCTTGTATTTCAAAAGAGACAAACAGCCACCACTTTTTTGCAGTTAATTCAAATTGTAAGACTTATTTTTTATTTTTTTTGTAACACTAAGTTCGTTTTCAGCACAAAGGAAAGCAATTTGAAGTATTTTGTTTGTCCTAGAAAGACATAAAAAAACAATTCCCTCCTGATGTAAGATTTTAATTGCTTTACTTCTCTACTACAGACAAAATAATGGAAATATGTTAAAGTTCTACGCAACAAAGGAAAGCGTTGAAGTTGGATGCCAAGACTCGTCTTTCAGTTGTGAATCGCAGACAGAGTTAAGGATCTTCTAATTTCTTAGTATTTTGTGAAACTGCTGTTGAAGAAGGATTTTTGAGTTTTAATTGGAGAGAAATGTTACAAACAGATGAACATTTGACTGTCAACAAAGTTAAAATTCAACCTTGAAGCAAGGTTATGTCAGAATCCTTATGAAAGGCAATTAAGTGCTTTACAGAAAAAAAGAAGTGTGTTATAAGAAGAAAAGAATACTTTGGAAAAAAAAACATTTATATCAGCTGACAAAGTTTTTATATTTTGTCCTACAGCTTTCAGATGTGTCCCTGGTCCAACATGTCTTACTGGAATGGCTGAATTACCTGTTCAGTATGTGGTCAAGTTCTTTAGAGTTCTACTAATGACCTGATTAGCTGACTCAGGTGTGTTGAAGCAGAGGTGCATCTAAAAGCTGCAGGACACACCAGTCCTACAGGCCTGGATTGATCTAACGCCGTTTACATTCCAGTGTACAATTCATTAGCTCAAACAACTTTCTGGTTCGGCGCCACGCTTCCCGTCTTCAGTCCTTTTCATTGATACGAAACAACAAGTCAGCTCAGTTTGCTACTGAGGCATTTCTGTTTTTGTTGCACTTTGTGCAGGTTTGGAGAAGGACTACAAACACTTGGCGTTTTGTTAAGTCAAACAGTTTTTGGTCTTTGCTCAGCCACGAACCCCAGAGATTAACTGCCGCCATGATGGATGACCTTTTCAACCCTCGGCTTGCTCCCAAAGGAAGTAACAGGAGAAGAGTTTAAGGGACAGCCATTCTTTTGTGGGGAGATTATCTGCAGGGTGCAGAAGATATTTAGCAAATATTCTTGGCTTTATCTATCTATGAGAGACAACTGATAAAGTGCAACAGGATCTCTAAATAATCATAAGTTTTCCAAATATAAAGCTTGTAGCTCTAAATAGGTAGAGAGGTATTGCAATTGGAAGATTTTGGGTTTGAGAGGGAGAGAAAAAAATATTTCTTAATGACTAAAAGAACTTTTATTTATACAATAGATGCCCATCTTTCTCAGGGTATGCTTATAAATGCGAAGTTACACAATTATGAAGAAATAAATCGTATTAGTTGCAAATGAGGTCGGACAGAGTCTACTGTCTCACTGCACTGTTAGAAATAGTCTGCTGATTTTTATGTGGGTGGATTAATTGAAGAGTGTATATTTTTATATGTCCGTCCGAAACAAACAATTGACATGTCATCCTGGAGCAAACACAAACACAAATAATTTCCAACATTTCTTTTTTCCCTTTCTCCCTCTTTCAGGCAAAAACTTCAATCCTCATCTATAAAAATTGATTCCTGTCACATGGAAAGAAATATCTGTTGGTGAGCCAAAGGTCACAAATTCCAGACAGATTCTTGCATGTCTCTCTTTCTCTTTTTTTCCCCCTTTCTCCACTGCAGGCAGTATTGATTTGTTCCAGGCCTATTAATCCTGACAAGATTGTTGCGTACTGAAAATGCATCTCGAAATGTGACCTCGCTGAAGGAAGAGAAAAGGCTGAGCTGCACAAAACACAGCGCAGTAAACTTACAGAGGGAGGTTGTTACGGTTGGATAAGCTCCAGGTTTATGAATGCTAAGCCTGTTTCTTTGAACAAAATTTTATTCAAAAGTAAATTAAATGAAAACTACATATGAAGTGGCAATGTTTATTTCCTTTTAAATATGTTCTCCTTTCAGAAATAAATAGCATCTTACAGCTTATAACTTACATGTTAACCTAATCAATGATCCTGCATGTTTTAATTCTTTCCCTGGTTCAACACACCTGAATCTAATGATGGTTCATTAGCACAACATTATGACGTACTGAAGAGGCAGTTGGACCACTTCACTCTGACGCTTCTGAAAAATGGCAGGACTATTGGTTTATTTTACTGGATTGGATGTCAGATGCACCATTGCTTTGTGTTGAGTTGGGAACATTAGTGGTCGGAAAACTGACACAATCATGACAAGAATCAGAAAAAAAGGACGCGATCATCACTAAGGCAGCTGGATGACAAGGTCCAACGGGATCACATTTAACAGGTCTGTAAAAAGTTTTCATCTTAAAAGAATAACAATGTAGTGGGAAGGAGGTCGGCTATGCTAGCTTGACTTTGAACACCTTAACATGTGGATGTGCTGCGGAATTTGACGTGTTTCAGTTCAGTTAGAAAAGGTAAGGTAATTTTATTTATATAGCACATTTTCAGCAACAAGGCAATTCAAAGTGCTTTACATGAATTAAAAGGAAATACAAATAAAAAATAATTAGATTATGTCTAAAAAAAAGTTAGAAATAATCAGTAAGATCATCAATAGAGCAGGTGTTTAAACTCACTAATCAACACCAGTAGTGTTCATTTGACCACTTATAAATAAGCTCAAAATGAACAGTACGCTTGAAAACATCAAACTGTAACTGGTTTAATTTTCTGTTTGTGGGTTGCATGTTCTGTTCTTTGTGTGTGGAAAATGTTTTGCATGTTTGGTGTAAATCTCTGCTCTGTCTGGTAGTGGAGCTGTTGTCGGTCGGTTGGTGTGTGCGGCATAAAACTGACAC